CGACGGTTTAGGATCGAGTCACTTAATTATGAATTGATTTACTTTAACGTGTCGCTTCGTTCGTATTATTCTTTAGAACAAAATTCTGCCGTGTCCCAAATTCCTAATCGACACTGTACAGTTCCTGTCCCAATGGAAAATTTCGAGTTTTGACAATAGCGGCCCAGTTGCAGCGGCTCGTAATTACCAACATTGTCGACGGAGGACCAGCAGCTGTAGCTGTCGCGAGTTAATCAAGAAAAAGTTTCAGCTTCAGCTGGAACGAGAAAAGTATAAATACTTGATGGCGTGACTTCGCGCTGCTTGCCTATATCGTTGGACCAGCCTGAAGTTCGCCGTGTCACAGAATTAATTAAGCCTGTTCCTTTATTTTTAGAACACGTCCGTATAATTGAATGTCAATTCCGTGCTCGTTAACAGCAGTTGGCAACACTGGCCGGCCTTCTAGCAGTGAACGTCAGTGGCAACAGCTGAATTCTTTCACAGGGATCCTTCCTTTTTAGCAGTCGCAGTTCAACGAGTCCAATAGGGAACGCACGTGCTTCAGTTTAATTATTCTATTCTCGAGAGAATAAGTTTTCTCGAAAAATTATTTCTTCCTGGAAATTTAGCGTAATTCGTTTCGTTTCAAACTTACTATCGGTGTTGTAGAAAAGTCTAATAACTTTTAAGTTATAAAGGCTCTAAAGACTCAAGAGGTTCTAAAAACTCAAGACTAATTTATGATTGCATGATAAAATGTAACTTGATAAGTTACAACGTTATACTTGATGCTTGATATATTGAGATTTGATATATGGTATATTGAAACTTGATACTCAAGCCTTGATATTTGATACTAAAACCGAAACTTGATGCATTGATATAGTGAAACGTGATACTCAATCTTTGATACTTGACACCAAAGCTGAAACTTGATACCTTGATATATTGAAACTTGATACTCAATCTTTGATACTTGACACTAAAGCTGAAGCTTGATACTCAAGCCTTGATATTTGATACTAAAGCAGAAACTTGATGCCTTCATATATTGAAACTTGATACTCAATCCTTGATACTTGACACTAAAGCTGAAACTTGATGCCTTCATATATTGAAACTTGATGCTCAATCTTTAATACCTGATACCAATCTTTAATACCTGAAACTTGACACCATGGTATATTGAAACTTGATACTCAGTCCCGATATTTGATAAAAAAATCTGAAACTTGATACTCAATCCTTGATACTTGGCGTTAAAGCTGAAGCTTGGTACTCAAGCCTTGATATTTGATACTAAAGCTGAAACTTGATGCCTTCATATATTGAAACTTGATACTCAGTCCTGATACTTGATACAAAATCTGAAACTTGATACTCAATCCTTGATACTTGGCGTTAAAGCTGAAGCTTGGTACTCAAGCTTTAGTGTCAAGTGTCAAGGATTGAATATCAAGTTTCAGTATATCAAGGCATCAAATTTCAGCTTTAGTATCAAATATCAAGGCTTGATATTTGATACTAAAGCTGAAATTTGATGCGTTGATATACTGAAACTTGATACTCAATCTTTAATACTTGATACCAAAGCTGAAACTTGACACCATGATATATGGAAATTTGATACTCAGTCCAGATACTGGATACAAAATCTGAAACTTGATACTCAATCCTTGATACTTGGCGCTAAAAGTAAATACTTGATTTCTTGGTATATCGAAACTTTATACTTGATATATTGAAAGTTGATGCTGAATCTTTGATGCTTGATACTAAAGTTGATATATCAAAACGTGATACTTGGTATAATGATACATTAATAAATTAATAATTGGAATTTTTGAACTACAGTCAAATAATTTTAGCACTTTCAGTTGGACTGAATTTGTCGAATTTTCGAAAAAGGAGGAAACGTGTTAAAAAATCCGAGGATACACAAGTTAGCAGCACAAAGAACTAGAAATCATTTGCCTCCTCTTCTTCCACTTGTCACAGTTTCTGTCTTTGACAAACACCAAACAATCTTTGCCAAGCACCTCCTCTCCGTTTCTCCTGTGTAAAGCTCGATTTCTATGGGATTAAAACCGGCTTGATTGTTCGCCGCACGACAAAGGGATAGACAAATAAAATAAAAGAGTCGAAAGTCTGGTAAAATTGATATCGAAACTCGGGCACAATGGAAAATTAAAAGCATGACCCAGAGCCGATTTCAAATTGCAACGGGGTCGTTAAAAGGGTGAAAATTAATCGAGCACAATGCGAGTGCGTCCTTCAACATATAATATCTGTAATATATCGCGTGATGTATGTGAACGTGTGGGTTATTATTTTCGAAATGTTTCGCGGTTAAAAATAAATTTTTTGCCCGCAACACGAAGGTTTCGTTGCTGTAGCGTCGAATTTCGATTGATATCTGTCACAATTGCTATTGCCCGAATGTCAAGATAACATTTTGGGAAAACTAAATGGAAACGGCCCTTGTCGAACGTGATCGAAACGTATGCGAATTTGATAGGTCAATCACGTTAATTGATGTCTGATCTGACAATCTAACGAAACGAGTTGACGATTCTCTCGTAAAACTATGAGTCTGTCTAGAATTTGGCACTCAAACGCCTAATTATTTATCGTGATATAAGTTGACTAATGAAAAGAATCACAAGTCCAATAGCTCTCTCCTCAATTTTTCAGTCGTGAAAGCTTTAAACAGCTAAATTACGAATTAATAACCACTTAACAGTCTAATATCCTAATTGCCCTGCAATCTAGGTTAGTTAATATCCTGACCTATAACCTGAAACAGCCATGATTCGATAACACGTACCCGAAACCGTCAGAATCCCTAATCAGTCAATTTTCAGTCGATCTGATTTAAAAGTTTAATATTCGCAACGTAATTTATTCACATCATGATGTGACCGGAAATGTAGCGATTAGAATTAGTAATTTGTTGGTGAATATTTCGCGCATAGAGATCCGAGGAGATCTAATATTAATATTACGTCAAGTACAACGGAAAAATAAAAATTTCGATTGACTTCGCGTCATAGATAGAGAACTCTGCCAAATCAGAGCTTGGCCAAGTTGCGTTCAAGTCAAGCTACGTCGACCGTTTGATTACGTGAATTATGTATTTATTTTCGGAGTTCATGTGTCGTGAAACAGCCTGTACTGTTCGCTAAAAGTAACCGTGACACGCCACGCGAATCGTTGTACACGTAAATATTTAACCGATGCAAATGCGTTTCCGCGAAATGGGACTTCAGAACTCGAAATACCGCTAATGTCATTTAATTCCAGTAATAAATACCCAAAAGATATGATATCGGTGATGAACTCGAACTTATTAAACAATCAGTCATTAATACACTGAATCATTTAACTCTGTTATTCGTACGATACCTATATCAAATTCGAGATTAAATTAATTCAAAATCATCCAGTTTTAGTGTTGAATGGCATTGTATGAAATCGTAGTATACTACCAGAGACTGAAAACCTAGAAATCACTATTATTCACTTTTAACTCATCTAGTTTCTACGATGCGTTCTTAGTCTTAATCTGAAGTTTCTTAAATTTGGCATTCGATTTTTAACATCAAACATTTGAGAAATCACGTAAAATTAGTATTCGCGTCATGACCAAATCCGTAAAATCTATACTTTTCCGATGACAAATTTCTATAGCCACTTAATCCATAATTTCATCTGCCAGTTTCGTTCACTAAAACTATCGTTCTCACTATTGTCAATCCTGAACTTTTAAAATCACGGAAAAGCGTTAGATTTGAACTTGATATGTTCGCCGTAGATATCCAGATAGGCCTGCTGACGAGCACGAAAATTCATTACACTCCACTCCAAGTACCCCCAAATTCGCGTAGACCATTAGATTAATTGACGCTTAGTGCCATTATAGGCGAGATAATGCCCCGGTTGATAGATCTCGTTAATTTTTAACGAAGCAGCCTCACATTAACGTACGACCAACACACTGACCGTGTTATCTTTATAATTAACGAACCGATCGATTTAT